ACTAGTATCTCATTGTGGTTGTGATTTCTCTAGTGACGAACGAAGTTAAAAATCTTTTCATGTGCTTACTGGCCATTTGTGCATCTTCTTCGGAAAAAAGCTATTCAACCCCTTTGCCATTTTTAAATTGGGTTATTTGTCTTTTTATTGAGTTATAAGAGTTCTTTATAGGGGAAGGTCTTGGGGGACAATGCATGAAAGACAGTAAAGGGATTAGCCAAAGAACATATGCATAACACACAGACACAGACGACAGTGTGGTGATGGCCAGGGAGGGGCGGGGCTGGGTAGAGATAGGCAAGGAGGGAGGAATAGGGACATCAGTAATAGTGTCAACAATAAAAAACTAGTCTTTTAAAAAAGAGATTTCTTTATACATTCTAGATACTAGATCCTTACATGGTTTTACAGATACTGAAAGTTACCTCTTCAGCTTCCTAAGTGTCCTTTGAAGAATGTAAGATTTTAATTTTGGTGAAGTCTAATTTACCCATTTTTTCTTTGGTTGTTTGTATATTATTAATTTTTAAGGAAGAGGCTAGAGACAAAAAATTATTAGAATATCCTGTAATCAGATAAGTAGTTCAGACTTACAAGATGCAAAGAGCTGGTCACTGATTTAAATCATGAATTCCTATTTGGGAAACATATCTACTTTATCTTGGTGAAAAGAAGGAAGGAAGCTACTCATTTTAAATTTTTTAAAATTTTTTATTTTAAAAACTTTTTATTGTTCAAATACATTTGTCTCCATTTTCCTGCCACCACCTTCCCCTGCCCCACCCACCTCCACCTCCCACCCTCTATCCTTCCCCACTTTGGTTTTGTCCCTGGGTCCTTTATACATGTTCCTTGATTTGACCCTTCCCCTTCTTTTCCCCGTTACCCGCGCCTCCCTCCTTCCCTCTCATTACTGTTGGTTTCTTTTTTCTTTCAATGTTGCTGGTTATAGTTTCCTTGCTTGTTTGTTGATTAGGTTCCACTTATAGGTGAGATCATATGGTATTTGTCTCTCACCCCCCTGGCTTATTTCACTTATCATTTTAAAATTTTTAATTAACTATATTTTCAGATTAAATATTTGGCTTTTGAATACCAAGTGGACAATAAAGTGCAGAGAAATAAAACCCTAGTCAGAGTTGTACATTTTCAGGGCTATTTGCCATAACAGCTAAATTTTCATAGTTCTTACCAAATAGAATTGGGATTATTTTTTCAAACTAGGCACATTTAAAATGTATTTTTAGAGGTTTCAAACTAATATATTCCTGGATCAGTTCAAAATTAAAGAACAGTATGGCATAACTTCGGTGATCCATTACTGCTTGATAAATACTAAATAGGTAATACATAATCCCAAATAATTACATGGATTATATAACTTGCAATATAATAATTCCAAGAATCTATTGTGATTACAGTAATTTTTCTAACAAAAATGACAGTAAAACTGGTCATTAGTGTACTAAAAGTGAGAGGTGGTACCACTGTCTACATTTCCCTGTTTCACATTCAGTACTGTATTTACTGTATAACATAGTATCAATTTCTGCCACAGAAGTCCATTTATGACTTTTTCAGTTTCTTTATCTCTCCTGAAAAAGAGGTTTAAGTTTTTAAATGCTTTTTTTCCTTTGATTGCCATATTCACATGATTTTTTTCCCCCTGTAACCTGTTTCTGTGGTGATTTAAATAAATTTTTCTTATATTGAGAATGTTGTGAACTTGGAATAACCAACCTAGGTCATGATATATTCTTTTTATGTATTTCTGGGTTAGGGTTGCTAATATTTATTTTTTAATGTTTTATTTATTTATTTATTTTCAGAGAGAGGGAAAGGGAGGGAGAAACAGAGGGAGAGAAACATTGATGTGCAAGAGACACATCAACCAGTCACACACCCCCAAGCAGGGACCTGGCCCACAACTCAGGCATATGCCCTGACAGGGAATCAAACCAGTGACCCTTTGGTTAGCAGGCTGGCACTCAATCCGCTGAGCCACACCAGCCAGGGCAGCATTGCTAATATTTTTATTAAAATCATGGCATCTATGTTTATGAATGACATGGCCTTTTAATTTTCTTTACTGGTACTATTTTTAGGGGTATGAATCATGTTAAGCTAGCTTTAGAATGAATTACGTATGCTATCTCTCTTACTCTCAAATATCTTGTGTAAAAATGTATTCCTTCATTAAATAATTGATTAAACTTTCCATTTAAAAACAACAACAAAAAAGAATACCTCGAATGTCTTTCTTTGTCAACCAACGTACTGATTTAAAAAAAAATGTTGGTTTAAAAAACTCTAAGTGGTGATAGCAGCACAGAAATGTTAATGTACCTAATGCCTCTGAACTGTACACTTAAAAATGGTTAAAATGGTAAATTTTATGCTAAGTATATTTAACCACAATTTTAAAAAGAAAAATAAAAGGTAGGAAAGGAAAGGAAAGTGAAAAAGTAGAGAAGATGGAGCCCCGCAAAACAAATAAACCAGTCTGAGCACCCGCTGGCAGACACATTCAAGAAAAGCCGGAGAGGAAGGCGCAGTTCACCAGGCCGTCAGAGATCATCAGCAAAGCAAGGGTCTGCCAAGAGCTCAGGAAGTAGGTTGCCCTCGAAGAGTACAATGACCCACCATGTAGTTACTCAGAGCTTTGTCTCTACTTTAAGATGTGGGGCTATACAAGGATGTCCTTCACGCTTCTTAGGACCTAGGCTATATCCAAATGTCACTGTATATACCCTTATCTAGGACTCTTCCTTGAGTGAAGATAGTTAAGTTTCCTCCATATCACATTGGCTAGGATGTTCTTAAACAAGGAATTAAGCTAATGACAGTATTTTGGTTTGGTTAATGGCAAACCAATGTACCAATACTGTCAAGAAAGAAAGCAAGCAAAGATACTTCAGGGAAAAGAACCATGAAAAATCCACTGTGTGACTCATTGCTTTGCAGGTCTCTTAAGAATACTGTTTAGTGTATAAGCAGAACGGCTTTTTTTCAGAAAATACTTTTGACCATAATTCCAAAGTAATAAAGTGTATTCAATGCAGTTTCTAAATTTATAGACACAAGTATATACCACAAGGCAAGTACTTCCTTAATGTATGAACTTGAGTCGGGGGGAGATGTTTCAAAACATTATTGACACCAAATAAGCTTTTCTGAAAATATTCCTCACAAATATAATAAGCACTACTGAATATAATTTTATTCCAAATTATACCAGTTTATGTACCATACCTTAAACATATTTTTATAGTGAAAATATAGTCTATAGCAATGCCTATGATAAATGCTCAACAAGAATTTGCTGAATGAATGAATGAATGAATGAATAGGACCAAGCCTCAATTTGAGGGTTTTTTTTTTTTAAACAGATGATAAAAGAGGCTAAAATCTCCAATTTTTTCTAGATCTATCAGGGCCTTATTTTGAATGCTGCCACAATAAAAATAATTTCATATCTTTGCAATTCAAAGCAACAGACACATTAGATCCCCCCTAGAAAGAATAAAGTAGGAAGAAGGGGAAGAAAAGGGGAGGAGGGAGTACCTTACTAGGCCAGAAGGCACGTCTCCAATGATGACATGGGTTAGATAAGATCCCAGGCAAGCTAAAGGGCCCCATCTCACTTAACACTCAAGTGTTGACCAAAAGGTTGTGATGAAATATTTTACTTCTATAAAATGATCTGCCACTCCACCTTTTATCTCAGTGAGGATGGGGTAAGCTCACTATAAACGTGGTTTTCCTCATTGTCATCTATACTGTTTCACCTAGCACAGCATACTTGCTGAGGAGCCAGGTACTGTAAGAGAGAAAAACACTACCCTGGCAGCAGTTCCTAAAGGACGATGTTGCTGGTTGAATTGTACCCCCGCAAAATTCATATGTTGAAGTTCTAACTCCCAATACTTTAGAATGTGACCTTATTTGGAAATAGGGTCATTGCAGATGTATTTAGTTAAGATGAGGTCATACTGGAGTTGGGTAGACCCTTAATTTAACATGACTATTGCCCTCATAAAATGAAGAAATTTGGACACAGACCTGCCAAATACCTGCACATCACCAAGATTAATCTTTCAAAGATGGCAACTTCTTTGCATCACTATCTTGTTAAAAAATCTCTAGTGACTCACTAGTTCCTGCTGGACAAAGCCCAGATTCTCCTGCCTGGCATTCAGGCCTCTCTCTTCTAAGCTAGCTCCAACTGCTAGGCAAGACTGCACTAGTGACCCTACTGCGGATGTTCAACCTACAGCCCAGGATGGCTATGAATGCAGCCCAACACAAAATCGTAAATTGACTTAAAACATTATGAGATATTTTTGTGATTACATGTCACAATGTATTTAATGCGTGGCCCAAGACCACTCTTCTTCTTCCAGTGTGGACCAGAGACGCCAAAAGGTTGGAGACTCCTGCCTCGAATGTACAACCATTACCGTTGATGCAATGCTTCCTGCCCTGCTTGTGACTTTCCCTCTTCACCAACCCAATTCTTGACCATCCCGTGAAGACTACTGCCAAGGTCCACTTTTTCTTTGAAGTTCTCTCTATATATTCAAGCCCACTAAGGCCAATTCTCTGACCTATAGGCACTACTGCTTGTATCAGTCATTCTGTACTCATCTCAAACTGCCCTGCATGACTTTAGCATTTAAAAAGTGCATGCTTTGCACAGGTGGACTATGAGCTCCTTAAGGAAAGGGTTCACATTTTATAATATTAGGCATACTTCTCAAAGCCAAAGACAATGCTAGGCATATAATAGGCAAGCTCTAAATTCTTACTGAATTAATTATCAAAAATAGATTTTAAATTCTTAGAAGTATTACTTTTGGTTCTTCCTTAAACTGGGGACTTAAAACTGAACAAATCTACAGATTCGATGTAATCCTATGGTTCCAGATATATCCAAATAATTTTAAACTTACAAGAAATAGAGGAAAACTCCTCAGCACATTTAGTCTCAAGTTACTTACCATTCTTCATCACTACATTAGACCAGACATTGGCATTCAGGGCTTGAATAATTCGCTTTACTCCTGTAGATTCTGGGAAGTCATCTAATCAGGAAGGTAAAATATATATGTTTATACATGCACTTATGCATACATACATACATACATAATGTGTATGTGTGTGTATCCCAAGCCACACTTTTAAATAACTGTGGCTTACTTATTTTGCTTATTTAATTGTTACTGCACATTACAACTTATGTAATGAGGGGGGGGAAGCAAATACAGAGCTCAGAGTTCCCAATAAGAATATTCTAGAAACTAGAATTATAAGAAAAACACACAATATCAGAGGCTTATATAATACCATCATCTGCATTGCCTCGCCGATGGCACCTACTGATAGTCTCCTGAAAATGTTAGTTTCCATTAATTACACAGTCCTGGGAGAGCGCTAGAGTACTACCATTCTTGGTTATTTATAGAGAATGATTTTGCTGAAGGCCAGAATGCTCCTCTTAGTATGCTAAAAAATCCTGCAAATGCCCTTCCTTCTCCTGGGAAATATAAAATAGTTATTGTTTATAACAGATCTCTAGAGAACAACTTCTTGATCAGAGAAAGACAGTTTGACAGAAGTGAAATTGCTATTACTAGAGTGTAAGAGACAGGCAAACTATCATTAATATATACCCAACCACTGAGTTTAGTATTGGTATTGTCCTGTTTTGGAATTTAATTGATATTACTCTAAAAAATAAGGCACTAATCCCAGTTGGCATACCAGTAATAAAGTGGTATTCTTAGCTACACTGTAGGTATGAATGTGTATAAAGGAAATGGAGATCCTTCAGATAATGAGTATTACAAGACTGCATATGGCTGAAAGGAGAAAGTCTCGTATGAGTTTACAGAGTACACTCCACATAGAACCTGTCTCTAGTTGCCTGGACTGGCCTGGTCTGGCCACTAGATATGAATTTGAACCCAGGGCTCTGCCACTTATTAACTATTTGATCAAAGGCAAATATCACTTAGGCTATTCTTTAAAAAAAAGTGGGGATGACTTTCCATGCCCTCCTCTCCTAGAAGATAGAAAGATGCAGTGGAACTGATCACTTACTAGTGTAACCTTCTCTACACTGGATATTCCTAAAAGGCAGGAATCATGTCTTACTGAGTTCATTATTCCCACTGCCTAAAACAGTGCCTGAACAGCAGCAGGTACTCAGTAACTGAAAGACTGAAGAATCATTTAAAAAATACCAGCCTACCAACTTAACAAGAATATGGTGAGGATTAAACCAAAAATACTCTACATGAGTTTATCACCATCAATGTTTAAATGAAGAAATAAAAACCATGTTTATCTTAAGTATGAATGATTCAGTTCTTGAAAGAATAACTAATACTTCAGATAATATAATGAGGAACCAAAAATATGGTCTAAAGAGCCTATAAGTTGAAGTTTAATACAAACAAGCATAAAGTCTCATATTGCTGTTCAAATAATTCATGCAAATAAAGGATGAGGGTATGTGGCTTGAAAACTGTTTCCATTAAAAAACTCTAGGAATGTTTCAGTTACATTATCAAAAGAGGGTGTGTCCAAAGTCTATTTTAAGATTAATCTGAGTTAATAATAAGAACATTGTTCAGACAAGGAGCAAGACGAAATGATATAAAGGAATAGAAATTCCAAAATGAAAACAGATTTAAATAAATTATACAAAAGTTGACTCTCAAGGACAATACGAAGAAGAGAATATTCTAGTGCCAAAAATAAGTGATGACACACATGCTCACACAAAATAGGGCACAAGTTTTAGGGGACCTAGAAAAACAGGGAATAAGACATTGCACTTGTTAATTTTCAATATTTTTAAAAGTGAACAGGAAGAAAAGGCAGGCTTTTTATTTCATTTTTGTCCTCTTGTTCTCTGGAAAGGTTTTATTCCCAAAGATAATATTTGAAAAAAATTCTAAACAAGCCATAATATAGAAAGACATTTCTTAATTCTTTTAAAAATATGTTTCATGTATATCCCCCCTATGTAACTTAATTCGCATTGGCTGCCCCTGCCTAGAATGCCTTTTGGAACAACTTGCATCTCCACAGTGCCACCTCCCCACCAGCCCTCTAAACACAATTCCACTACGCTTTCCACTTCTTCCCCATGGACCGGTTGACATGTGGGAGTTCATGGAACCAATTCCTTCTTTAAAATAATCTCTTCTGTCTCTGAAATACCACAGTACCAATATGTTTTTTTTAATAACACTTACTATATCCCACTTGGTAACTCAATGATTTGTAAACGTGTTTTAGCTCTTGTACCAGATTATAAGGTTTTGATGGGTCAAAATCTGTCTTATCTTTGTAGATCCCATAGTAGCTAGCCTAAGTGTACTTGGAAGGAGTAAAGATGAGAAGAGAAATGCAGGAGGGGAAATGAAGAGGGGGAAGAAGCGGAAGAAGGTCCAGGCTGTAGTAGAAGGCAGTTAAGAGCAGAGCTACTCCAAGAGGGCATTCTGAGTCTATTTTTGGTTTCAAATGTTGAAAACACATATAAATAGGACGGACATACACCTATGGTTCCTGGAAATTCAGCTTTAGGTTACTAGGAATTCAAAATAAGGCGCATAAACTTTACCTATTTATGAATACAAGTCAAACTCTCCTTTTTTGGATGTGGAGAAAGGATAAGAGATTAGGGAAATGACTAAGATTTAAGGATGAAATCCTCTGGCTTTATGCATAAGAAAAACAAACATTTCAGAAAGTCCTAAAATGGGTAGTAAATCCCTCAAAATGGATTATTTCTTTAATGGTAAGACCACATGATGAATTTTTCACAAATCTTTTCAAGCAGCTGGGGGGAAAAGAATGTTTTTTGAATTTCACTGTGACTTTTCTTCCAGGAATTAACTAATCTCACATCTCAGTCCATATGCCATGTTTCCCCTTGACATAAACACTTACCATCCTCCTCAGGCAACTCTTCTGGACTAAGTTCTACCAGTTCAAAGCCATGTTTTATACACCATTCTTGAGCTTTTTGTCGGTTTATACCTAAAATAATATGCAAAAAAACCCTTTATAAGTAAAAATAAAATTTGAATATTGCTGCAATACTATCTATGAATATGTTTCCATTAATGTCAATATTAGTCTATAAGAACTCAAAATAAATATAAAAAAATGATTTCTCAAATGCAAAGTGTCCATTATTTTAAAAAAAGAAAAAAAGTAAATATTGTAAGATTCTAAAGAGAAATAGCTGAAAACATTTTTGTAAAGTAATACAGTCTCATGAGATATACTATTCTAAGGTAAGGAAACAAATGTACTCTGCTTACCAAGGAACAGCAAATGCATGTACAAACTATGACCCCATCAAAGTATCTTACCATTCTCAGACACTCTATCGCAGACCAAGACCATCACCTCAGGTAGCCATGCTTCTGCCAGTGGAAGCCATGGGGAGACACTATCAAGACCAGATTTCTAAAAGGAGGAAGAACAAACATACAGACACTAAAAACAGTAGTAAGTAGAAAAACAGACATTAAAAGAACTCTTACACACACACACAAAGCAAGCGGGGGGGAAAAAAGCAAGCACAAGATAATTTCTTATTCAAGATTCCATGAAAACGAAATCTTACTTGTGTGCTGTCAAAGTAAACCACAAATGCTTGAACAGACTCTGCAATCTCTGCAGTGACTAGAAACTTGTTTGGCACTACACATAGATTGATGTCCGCTGAATAGTACTTATTATCAATGGTCCAAGGATAAAATCTCACAGCATCATTGGCAGTTGCTTCCACAACAAGATCTTCTGTTCCAAGGATATCTGAATAAATGACACAACATTACCATGGGAAGTATAAAACCAATGTACACTAATCAATTTGCTCAGTAAGATACCAAAATATGGTACTCAGGCTGTACCCTTCACACAAAAGGATTTCAAAGGGTCTCACATTTATTAGAGTATTTTCTTCTCTGATCATTTGATTACAAAAGTAATGGTGACATAATTTAACTCATTGGCTTTTTACTTTAAGAATAGAAACACTATTGTGACTAGATTAGGTAGAGAACAAAACAGTCATCTCACCAAACACCCAGGAAAGAACAAGAGAGAAAGAGAGTTGTATTTACTTTATTGCTTATGAACTTCATAGGAGATGGAAGATAATAAGAATCCTAAAAAATTTGTAACTATTTCATACTTATTACAAGCTAAAAGGAAAACAAGGTTAAGCCATTAAAACATAGTTACACATATCCCTTGGGTCAAATTCTTACACATTAATTTAATTAATAAAATAAAAGAGCGAATATTGACAAGTGACTCCAATTCCATTTATATTCAGCCCTGTTCAGATTCTTTGAAAGCCAACTAAGTCAAATTCTTACCTGACAAAGACACTTCTGGCAAAATTTAAATGTTTAATAGCCAAGCAAATAAAATGATGTAGAATATAACTAAATCTTTCAGAAACCCATGTACAGCATGGGTATAACTAATGAAATTCTTCCAGTAAAAGCCAAAAATAGATGTGATCATGGAACCATCAAAGCGTTTTGCTTCCATAATGTCATAAAATATTTAAAACTGGAAGAGACATTAGAAATTGTTTTAACCTACACTCTCATCTCCCATGCTCATACCTACAACCTCCATTTTACACATGTGGAAAATGAACTTAGTGAAGTAAAATAACATGACTCTAATTGGGTTGTTACAAAATGTACAACAAAATGACCACAAGGACCTTTTTAATGTATAATATTGATGAACATGTAAGGTATTTCTCAGACTCACTGAAAGGCACTAAAAACTAAAAATTAATTTTTAAATTCCACACCTAAGGTTATACATTTGGAACACAGTCATAGGTTTTGCTCAAAAAAAAAAAAAGATATGGGAAAATTATTTAGTCCAAAAGATTGCTAGGGATAATGTATAATAATATATAAAGCATATATGTGTATGTGTATACATGCATTTTTTTCCACTGGTAACCTTTCATCATGTGGTTATTAGCAAAACTGAAAATAAGAGTACGCACTACACATAGTACTCTTGATAGTACTTATTAGTACTCCTGTTAGGGTGGCCAAAAAGTTAGTTTGGCTTTTTCCATATGATGGCTCTAGTAGCACTTAGCTGTATTTAACTCTGTTCAAAACAATTTTGTTAGACTGTATTGTTACAGCAGTCATTATCAGAGTGTATTTTTTTTAAAGAAATCACAATTGGTTAATTTTCGTGTAGCCATTTTAATATTGAAGATGAAAGAAAATATGCAACATTTTCAGCATATTATGCTTTATTATTTCAAGAAAGTAAAAACACAACTGAAACACACAAAATAAGATTTGTTCAGTGTATGGAGAACATGCTGTGACTGATCAAACGTGTCAAAAGTGGTCTGTGAAGTTTCGTGCTGGAGATCTCTCACTGGACGATGCTCCATGGTCAGGTAGGCAAGTTGAAGTTGCTAGCGATCAAACTGAGACTTTAATTGAGAACAATCAACATTCTATCATGGCAGAGAGAGCCGACATACTCAACGTATCCAGATCAATGAAGTTATGCATGAAAATGAAAAATGTGTCTTTTATGGAAGAAAAAAACCACATGAACTTTTTGGCCAACCAAATACCTTTGACATGAGGCACACTTTGAAACTAACTTTCCGAATTTTTTTCACCAAAGCCAGAATTGGTACTCTTAAATTAACAGAAAGTCTGGACCAAAATTTGAAAAATCTGATTTTTACCCTGTCTTTTAAGAAATCAGCAGTTCTTTCCACTTAATTTCTATCTAAAGTCATAATCCTTATTATCAATCGATTCTTTAGCAGCCAGCTGTAATGTCCCTCATGGAGCCTTATGACAAGTTCAGGTAGGAAATAAGCAGAAAGAACACATAAGTTATTAAAATCAAAGATTGAGTTTTCATCTAAATGTCTCACAAGGTAGAGGGGGTGGGGGAGACCCAATATCAAAGTCTATGTTCAATTCAAAGCTAATACTCCTAACTCCAAGCAGGTGGCACAGCAATATGCTAATAAACGCACATATGGAAGAAGGCAAACTAAATCAAGGAGAGTAGCAAAAAATGTATAAACTAATTGTTTTGAAGGAGTAAGAGGAACCACTATATGGATCAGTCTTCATTCATGATCCATACATAAAATAAAAAATAAAAATTAAATAAAAAATTATTTTTAAGGGAGGAAGCAGAAAGAGTAAAATAATGAATTCATTTGTTGTTAATGGGGAAAGTACAAAGAACATGGAACTAGTATTTCCACCATCGCCATAATCAGTTATTGGTATTTCCTACACTGGTTGTATTATTAAAAACTGGAATAAAATTTGGGGTATGCTCCTTTTCAAGACAGTCTCTTCAACTAACATGAAAAAAATAAACTCAATTAAAATGTCATACTTAGTAACTGCAATTTAGAATATCTGGATCCATTAAGGATGGTTCATTTTATTAATAAATATAAGAGAACAAACCAATGAGTGTTACTCAGAGCTCTTAAAATTTCAATTTTATACTGTCTTTGATTTTCAAATGATAAAGATATTTATTTACTTAACACATAGAAAGGAGCTATTTCTTTCTCTTTTCTCTAAACCTAGATGAGAATAGAACTAATTCAATTGCAAAAATGAATTTCATCTTTCAATGTTTTAGGAGCTGGATTTTTCAAAATTATTTGTGCTGCCTAATACAACTTGATGGCTCAATTTACTTATTTTTAACATTTTATGTCTAATCAGATACTTTCAGCAAGGCTGCATATGGACTTTATTATCACATCTGTGCCATATTAGAACTAAAGAGAGTAGTAAAGACTGTTTCACTCTAGTTCTTATCATCAATATCACAACGTAGAGTTTAATTTAAAATATGCAAATGTCTATACTAAATATAGCTTTTCTCCCTCATCTTTTGTATTTGATTCCAAATGTTTAACAACTTTATTCTTTTCCAAATTAAACAAAAATCACTAAAACACTTGTGCACATGGCTAAGAGTTTCTGGAGACCAGCCAGTACAATTCACTTATTTCACAGATGAGAAAACTGAGAGCCAAAAAAGTCACCTGCCTAATAGCAGCACAGCCTAAAATGGAATTCAGGTCACCAGCCTCCTTTCCTACCACAGTGATGCATTACATGTCATGAGAGTTAATATCTGAGCTACACCACACTTAAGCGTCTAAAGGTCACAAGCCAAAACTAATCTATTGCCCTTTTATGAAAACCAAATATAACAAGTCAGAACAAGAGCACCAGAACACAAGAGTCTGCGACAGACTCTGTATATGGGTTTTGAGTATTTTTATGTCAAAAGTGGGTCGTAGTGATGTTATGTGTATGGGGTGGGAGGCAGTGCCAGACAGACTTCCTAGAAAAACCTTCAATGGTCTCCCTTCTCTGCCCTTCACTAAACTGAGACTGAGGTACTCAAATGATGCACAAATAAAATCAGGAGCAGCTTCTCCCTCCTCCTGGTAGATGTCAGCCTGTCTCATTTACACTGTTGGCAGCCACCTGGTGGAGCTGTAATAACATTATTTTTTAAGAGACAAACACCAGGTGATTAATTGCTGGGTCTGTTACTACAAACTTGGTTTCACTGCTTAAAATAGTTAATTTGTACTGTTTTCAGGTGAGACGTTAAATGTCAGCCCAGATCCAGTAGTAAGGATAAACCTTTTCCACCAGTTTTATGTGCAAGTATAAACTTCTTTCCCTGTTTGAGAAGTTGTTTTACACAGCTGCCAATTCTCCAGCAACTCCTATTTGCTTTCTCACTTCCTTGGTAAACTTATTTCCTCTAGAGTTCCACATAAAAAGAAACAGTCAAGAGAGCTGAAGAAAGCTGGGTGCCAAGGAAGCACTTCAGTTCAGTAATCCAACTCCTCCCTCCTCTTGCTCTTGCCCCACTTTGCACTATTCTCCATCTATTCTAATGTCCCTTCCCTCAGAGAAAGTGCACATTTGGTAAGAAAGGAGGGAGCTAGTTTTCTATGGTTCAGAATCAATAAGAGGAAATAAATACTCTCTTTGGTATGAATTAGGAAGCCAACTGGAGTTCCAAGGTGAATTCCCAAGTCACCACAATATCCATTTTCCCTCTTTCTCTCTCACACACAAATATACAGGACAAAAGTAGGTTTATGGTTGTTCATATGGAAAATATAATAATAAATACTAACACAAGAATAAACTGTTTCACATACAACTCTAAATCTACTTTTGCCCTACCATATATATATATATATATATATATATATCTCCTACCTACCCTCTCACATATCCACCCAGCTAAAATATAAATTAAGTACATTCCAAAGTGCATTGACACTGTTTTGGATTATTCTTATCTCTTTGTAATACCAGTAGAATTAATGTACACTTAACCAACCATGGCATTTCTTATGACAAGTTGCCCAGTGGTTAGATCTTATTTTCTATACCCTGAGGGAAGTGAAAGGTTCCACCTCAAATCAAGATGATCGGCACTCTTCTGTGACCGCAGTTGACTTTACTTTTCCTCACAGAACTAAAACTGCTTTTACAGCCAGGTTTCATAACCTCAACCCCAGATAGGAGTGTCTTTAATGGTATACTCTCTTCTGGTACCCAATGTTACTCTCCCTTCCCTTTGCCATGACAGTATTAACCAGACCAGGCAAGGCCAGGTCAGAAAACAGTCAGCACATACCTGGAGTCAGACAGACCAGCATTTGAATGCTGGCCCACAAATTAAACCTCATAGGCATCTCATTTCCTCACAGGCACACGGGGACAAAAACA